GAATAATGTAGAGTGTGTAATATTTGCCCAGTTCCTACTTGGAATTCATAAAAGACTCCCCAAAGACTGTAATTTGTGACAAAACTTTAAGTAGAAAATGACATGCTCCTCTGTGATGTATTTCCTTTTGGGTGAGGACATGGAAGGGAACATTTGTTACCAAGTTTATTGAGATATAATTAACAAATAAACTGTATATATTTAACATGTACAATGTGTTTATACACAAAACAAGCACATTGTGAAATGATCGCCTCAACATAGCCAATTATCCATCAATTACATGGCTTCATTTTTATGCTGAGAACATTTAAGATCTACAAGTACTCTTCAGAACATTCCTGGAAAAATGGAAAAAAAGAGATAAGTTTATTTTTTTCCCGTCTCTGTCTTTCCTTTTCTCTTGTCACTCTGCGTTTCCAATAACTAAGATAAATCCTTTTAAAAATTATTTATTTTGGAACAAAAAATTATGAAACCCATATATAGTTTATTCTTAATATTCACTTTCCAGGAACTTTTTGAAGAACACTCATAGTCTCTGCTTCCTGTCACTCTCCAATGTGCACATGTTCAAACTAATTTTTTTGAAATGATGAGAATATAGATCTAGAAGATTTTTTGTATCTGAAAATGAAAAACATATGAAAGGACAGAAATTATTTGTACATATTTTATTATATTTACTTTTTTTTTTTTTTTTTTTTTTTTTTAGACAGGCAGAGTGGACAGTGAGAGAGAGAGACAGAGAGAAAGGTCTTCCTTTAGCTGTTGGTTCACCCTCCAATGGCCGCCGCGGCTGGCGTACTGTGGCCGGCGCACCGCGCTGATCCGAAGGCAGGAGCCAGGTGCTTCTCCTGGTCTCCCATGGGGTGCAGGGCCCAAGCACTTGGGCCATTCTCCACTGCACTCCCGGGCCACAGCAGAGAGCTAGCCTGGAAGAGGGGCAACAGGGACAGAATCCGGCACCCCGACTGGGACTAGAACCCGGTGTGCCGGCGCTGCAAAGCAGAGGATTAGCCAATTGAGCCGCGGCGCCGGCCTATATTTACATTTTTGAACTTACCTTTTAGTTGGCATTTGGAGGAAGGCAAGAAGTATAAAAGACAGTTAGGGCTATTTGTATCGCATCTTAATTTGTGTGTATTTGTTCACCCATGCAAAGGAGTTAGGATCTTAACTCAAGGTTCCTGTTACTTCCTTGATGGTGTATTTTTTTTCTATGCACCTACTGACCAAAAGACAGTCTGAAAGGGGGTACAGTTTTACAGGTTCCTGCACATTCTTAGAAACCAGTACAATAATGCAGTTAAGTGTGTTGATTCCTATAATCAGTGTTATACTGTATATAACTTATAAATTACCCTATCTGGATTCAAGTTTACATAATAAGGCATTAAAAATCTTGTAAAAAGCACCAAAGAATACCAACCACTGAATAATAAGCAAGTAAATCTGTAGCTTTTCCCTGAGGATAGGCATGCCTTTTTCAGCCACTTTAAATACATATTTTATATAATAATTATAGGAACTAAACGGTGTCTTGGTTTCTCATTAGTTAGTTAACTCCTACACTCCTTTTGTTTTCACACTCTAAGAAAGCTACTGAGTTATGAAACTCCCCCACAGTTCCAAAGGCAGCACAATATTCTGAAGGCAGAATTTATGGCTGGGATTTAAGTTCTTGTAGTTCCCTCTTAAACAGCGTGTGGTTAAGTAGAAAAGCATTTCTAACATCCCAAATATACAGCAAGAAAAATAGAGAGGGAAAATTAGATAGGTTCATATTTTTTATAATTTCATATTTTATATCTTCATAATTCATAGCATTCCCCGACTCTTTCTCAGACTATAGAAGAATGAAAGTTTTTGATTTTGTCTTTTTATTTTTCTTAAAGCTTGGAATTTTTTTCTTCTCACTCATGAAAAGTTATTCATCAAAACTATGAATAAACATAATGATCAGTGGCAGCATAGATTTGTTTATTTCTGTTTGACAGGTGACACAGTGATGGATCAAACCTTCATCAGAACGAAGATAATTTATAGCATTGCTGGTCACATAATTTCAGATACTCAGTTTAGTGATGTTTGCAAATTAGAAGATAACTTTTATTCAGTGCATACTCCTGAAGATAGTTAATCCATCTGAAAACTGAGCATTTTTGTATTGAAATTTAAAAAAAAAAATCGACCATGACCATGGAAGAAAGTTCACATTCTGTCATTCTACTAAAATTCCCCTTTTAAAAATTACTGATTATCTTAAAATGATCCACTGATATTTGTTGCACTCTTATTTACAAGGGTTGAATTGAGCATTAATACAATTTAGATACTAGCCGTGAATATGTGCTGATATTGAACTAAATCCATGAATTCAAACTTATAAAAATATTATTTTAAACATTAATGTGATAACCTATTATATGCCAAAAAATCCAATATTAAAGCTATTATTCCACTTTTAACTCAAATATTTTCTTAGAGAAAAGAATAAGGAATTTTGATTTTAGAACTGAAAAAACAAATAGGTTGTATCAGAGATCTTTTTAATCAGCTTTTTTGTTACACATTTATAGAGTAGGTTTAACATAAGCCAAATTTTTGCTAAGATTTTAAATATTGCTTAATTTAATCTTGTGCTTGCAGTCTTACACATTTTCCAATAGGATACCCCCTCAAAATCTGAATAATATTATTTTAGATTAAAGAAGAAAAATTTGTATTAGGTAAGTTTAAATAGTAGTTATGAAAGTAAAGATTTCAAATCTCAACAGAAGGCAACATATTCCATTTGCCTTTATTTTGATACAGATTTCTAAGGGTGGCCAACTAGAGAAAGTGTGAACATTAGTATGCTAAATGTTTGGTCAACATAATTTCAAACTTTTCACTAAAAATCATGATTTGAATGGACCAATGAGATGAAACAAACAAACAAACAAAAAAAAAACAACAACACAAAGATATAGGCAAGAATGGATGCCAGATAGCTAGATTCTGGTCCCAGCTTTCCCACTGAACAGCTGCAATCCTGAACAAATCATTTTAAGGATTTTACTTCTGTTAAATGAGGGAATGGGGCTTTAAGGTATTCTTAAGCTCAAAAATTCCATGAATTTCTATTTTAGAAAGCAGAAAACACACAGGAATTGGGGAGGATGTTGTGACACAGGGGGTTAAGGCACTGCCTGGGACACATGCATTCCATATGGGAGGACTGGTCAAGACCTGGCTACTCTACTTCTGATCCAGCTCCCTGCTAATGTACCCGGGAAGGCAGCAGATGAGTGCCTGAGTTCCTGCCACACAAGCAGCAAAACCAGATGAAGCGCTTGGCTCCTGGTTTCAAGCTGTCCCAACCCCGGCTGTTGTAGCCATTGGGGGTGTGAACTAGTGGATAGAAGATCTCTCTCTCTCTCTCTCTCTCTCTCTCTCTCTTTCTTTCTCTCTCTCTCCCGCCCTTCCTCTATCTTCAAATCAAAAAATCTTTTTATATAGAAAAAGTACAAACAAAAATTGACAGTGTTTCTTTATCTGAAATTTTCCTAATCAATCATCCCACAAATGTACTGCTAAGAATTTTAAAAAAGAAAAAAAGTCACCTTGAAATACAGTCTCATGTTGTCTCCCCTGAATAAACAGTGCACATCTCACTGGCAGGGGTATAAAAGTCTACCTTTTATACAAACAGTGATACTTTCTGCTTCCCTCACCTATTTTCTCTTGTTTCAGCCTGAGGGGGAAATTCACGTGTGATACAACGTGGAATGTTACTTTACTCACAAGGGCAACCTCCAAGACTTTGACTTTGTTGATGAATAAGCTTCCCTCTACATCCCTCAGGACCAGTGGAATTCATACCTATGCTCAAAACCTGGCCAGTTAATCTAAGTGATAGGTAGAAGCCTGCACACAGATAATGGGTAAGCACGTTGATGAAAAGTCTGCAGAGCAAATTTCTGGAATCTCCTTAATTAGCCACCCAACATTACCTAGATGAGAGACCATTCTCCAGTTTTCTTGTTCCAAAGCAGACATTTGGAAATGGATGAAAAACAGCTGGCTGGAATTCAGTCTGGCTTCCACAAAAATGATGTTTTTGGAATGTTAAGTAGCAAATACAAAACATCCAATAGAATATGCCCTTAATCTTTGTATATCCTGATGTATAATTAAAACTTGCAGGAACAAAAATAGAAAAGTTAAAAATTAACTGATGTTATACATTGTTGAGTGAAGGAATTACAGGAACTCTATTTTCTCAGATCAATTTCTAACCCCTTGCCTATATCATTATTTTCTACAAGATATTAAAACTCAGAAAAATAACACTAAAAACCATTTTTGATTTCTCACTAAGAACAGAGATTTATATTTGAGTGCCTCATTAATGTAACAACACCTTGCCAACTGAAGCATATAGCACTGTCCACTGGATCAGGAATGTACAATACCATACACCAATGAATTACTTTCAGTACACAGTGATTTACTGCAGCTATTGAGCACCAAAACTGTCACTGCATGGGACTCTACTTGCTGCCCTCGAATCCCTTCATTCCAATTACTGTTTCTCTGCTTTGAAATAACAGGAAGCACTAAGAAAAAAAGTATTTAATTCCTTATTGGGATTAAACAGCAAAGCAGTTAACTGTATCTGTCATATGGAAGGTGAGTGGACCAGATTACATAGTTCAACATAAATAATCACAGGCTGGCGCCGTGGCTCACTAGGCTAATCCTCCGCCTTGAGGCACTGGCACACCAGGTTCTAGTCCTGGTCGGGGCTCACGATTCGGTCCTGGTTGCCCTCTTCCAGGGCAGCTCTCTGCTGTGGCCAGGGAGTGCAGTGGAGGATGGCCCAAGTGCTTGGGCCCTGCACCCGATGGGAGACCAGGAAAAGCACTTGGCTCCTGCCTTCGGATAGGCACGGTGCACCAGCTGCAGTGCACTGGCCGCGGCAGCCACTGGAGGGTGAACCAACGGCAAAGGAAGACCTTTCTCTCTGTCTCTCTCTCTCACTGTCCACTCTGCCTGTCAAATAAATAAATAAATAAATAATCACTTCTCATCATAGAGAAAGAAGTCTTGAAATTATAATTCTGTTTCAGTTGTGTCATATGGCAGCCCTCCAAATGGCTTGGGCTTTTGCAAACAAATTGATCTACAGGATTTTTCAAAAATATGCTTTCAAACGAGAATTTTGGAGAAATTTTCATACTGCTTTGTGTAAAACTATAAATTCTATGATTGCAATAAGGATTGGCTTTCATCACAGTAAGGCATTGGATTGTATTATAATGTAAAACAACCATTCTTTGTGAATATGTCTTTATGTTATCTTTATGTTGTATTATCCAACAAAATTTGGATGTACATATAGTGCATCAATCATGATAACAGCTTATTTCATAATTAATGGGCATCTCACTTTATGGTGTTAAGTCTGGGGCATGGATTCATTGGATCTTATGTGTCCACCATGTTTAGCACTTTTCTTAAGTATTCATCACCATCTTCTGCATGAAGGCAATGAATAAATAAGAAAGCAGTACATGTAGAGGGCATGTACATTTTTAAAAGACTTCAACACATTCCATCAGATAGAATACATCATGTGGCCCAGGTAGATACAAACAGCATCCAGAAGTCCCTTACACCCTGAAAAGACAATTTTTTCTCAACTACCATTCTGCATGACATCAAGAAGACAACACGTGTTCATTTTCAATTTTAAGGAAGGAGCAATTGTGAAGTGTTTATACCATTGCTATACAGTGATGCCCAACATAGTGCAAGAAAACTTATTTTTCCTTATTTCATCAGAAAAGTGCCCCGGTACAGAAACAAAAGTATTCTCTTAACAATATTGGAGATACAAAACCAGTATCTGTGAGTTTTTTATGAATTCTCTGCCAGGTTATTAAAACCATAGAGTCTCTCATCTTTCTACTCTTTCAAGGAATCCCTAAGATACAGAAAATGGTTGTAGATTATGAAGATACTTAAATATCAGAAATATACCACTTGGCACATACAGTGCATAATAAAGGATCATGCTGCAAATGGAAATGAATTTCTGGACAACCTCAGACCTGAAAAACCTATTTGCACATCCACTGAAAAAAATATCTTTCTACGTGGAATCTCAGAGTGTGAACTTTTTTAGAAACAGGGTCTTTACAGATATTATCAGTTAATTTCACACGCGATCACACTCTACTAGGGTGGCCCATAAATCCAGCATCTCTAATAGAGAATCCAGAAGAACAGATACCCACAAAGAAAGTCATATGAAATCACACACAGGAAAGGCCATTCGAGGATAAAGACATTAGAGATGGCACCATAAGGCAAGGGGAGCCCAGGATTTCCTGCAACCCCAAGGCATGGGACAGACTCCTCCTCAGAGCCTTCAGAAAGAATGCACCTGCTAGCTTCTTGCTCTAAACTTTTTAAAAATTATTTTTTTATGTATTTGAGAGGCAGAGACATGGAGGGTGTGTATCAACTTTAGGCTCTGGCCTTGAGCCACATGACAGAACAAATATCTGAGTTTATTTATTTATTTATTTTTAGATTTAAAAAAACAATATTTATTAGAGTCTAAGACCTTCAGCCAGAGCAGCATAGAGGGGGGCTTCCAAGAGAGGAAAAAACAATTTTAGTGAAGAAACTCAATCAAGGTAAGGACAAACTCAACAAAAGACCTGATTTACAATCCTTTATCCTGTCTGGCTTGCACAGGATAGAACAAAAACCATCTGGAAGGGTGGGGTGGGTAACTTGTTTTCACAATAAACTGTGAGCTCAGGAGGGTGAAATCACTACTCCCTTGCTATTCCCATGCTAAATTTGGAGATTCCTAAGGTAGAATGGGTGGATGTTTTGATCTTGCTAAAGGTAAACTTTTGGTGGGAAGCAAGTACTCTACACCCCGAATTTCCACTGGGACTACACTGTGCCTATTAACCCATCTGACTCCTCACATAACCCCCTAAAGAAGAATGGACTCTAACAACTGTTAGGGGGACTAGGTGATGTTCACTCTGGCTGCTTCATGCTGAAAAGGGGTGTGGTTGGGAATAGCAGTCATGATAGGGTCCAGCAGGAGGCAGCTTCTCCAGGGGGACACAGTGCCCTTCGACTCCAGGGCAGTTTAGTTTCCAGTGACCCAACTCCTGGCTGGCAGAGCTGCCAGGGCTCTTTATAAGGTGAGTTCCGCAGACGCTCTGGCTTTCCACATCCAAAATCGATGCAGTGGGCTGGTCTGTTGGGTCTCCTTGATGGCAGATCACTGCGTAAACAGCCATGAATTGGCCTGCCACCTATCTTTACATTGTTTCTGCTGCCTAGCTTCCTCTTCCTCCTGGTTTTTGTTAAAGCAGACCAGAGGAAGAGGATGCAAGTCAAGGGGCAGCTCCGTCCCTAATCTTTGGTCGCCTAAACTAGAAATCCATAGTCACAGACATGTTCTGATAGTGGTTTTCTCTGAGGTAGACAACGCGCATGAGGAAAGCTATGTCCTCACTTTAAAACTTTCTCTCCATTTGGTCTGAAAGGGAGGTCTTTGCCTGTTACTGTGCCCATGGCAAAGTAAATCTAGCCATGAAATCATAATTTAAACTCTCATTTTGGTTCTGCTGTTATTATAGAAAAGTGTCAGCCATCCATTTCATATGGTCTAAAGATTAAATTGTATGTATCTGTTGTTTTAAGTTACCCATTGTATGGTGATTTGTTATTGCAACACCAGTAAGCTAGTAACCATGAACATCCCATCATTACAAAACAGACATTCCTCAGTCGACTATCTTCACCCTTTCGTGGGAATTAGTTTCCCTTTCTGAGTGCCAGCCTGTAATACCATCACTTCTTACTGAAAGGAACGGCCGAGAGCCAAGAGCCGCCATAAGAATGGCCTTAATAAAACAGTCCTGGGAAATGGGGAGTAAACTAAGTTCACAGAGAAGGCAGATAGCTACTACCCAGAGATAAGGGCTACTACCCAGAGATAAGGGCGACAGAACATCCTGGTACACACCTAAGCCCCCTCCCCTGTGCTTGTTCAAGCTTAACAAAGAAACCGCGAGGCACGTAGGGCACGTAGCCACCCCTTTCTGTTCTTCAAGGACCCCCTCCCCATATCCAAGCTTAGACATGTAGGGCACGTAGCCCCCTGTTTCTCCTCCTCCTCGACGACCTCCTCCCCTTGTAGTTGTCCAATAAACTTACGCCACCCTATAGTATGTTAATTTTGTGGTTTTGCCCTTTAAAAACTGTGTAAAATGATTGTTCAGGGCTCCTCTCTGCCCCCGCTGCTTGCGGCAGCAAGTAGAGGGCCCATTTGCGCAAATGAAATAAAACTGCCTCCTGCCTTTTGCATCGTCTGGTCTGGAGTCTGTGTTTCTGGGGTCGTCACAAAAGGACACCGCTTTTGGGGTCCTACATTACCTTCTGGAGACCATAAACTAGAAAGCAGCTGCTCTTGATGCACCTAAAGCAAGAAAACTCTCCCTTTTGAAAAAAATAAAAATAAGTAAAAATAAAAAAAAACCACCCAGAGGCCAAATTACTTTATTCCTTCCTCTTTCCCCACAATTTTCTCTCTGTCGTTTCACTTGTCTGTGCAAGAGAATAATTTTCTACCCACGTCAGATAACACAAATGCCATTTTCATCCTGAAGTAGGTAGGCATACAGGTTAAAATTGATTAGATTTGTGAGCTGGAAGACCACGCCTTCACCACACCCCCGTGTGACCTCATGCCCCTACCTGGCCTCACCTGGGTGCCCACTAGCCAATCAGGTTAATTAACCACTCCCCTTTGGAAGTGAGTTAAAAGCCTGGGACGTGGTGTGTCTGGCCCTTCTCTCCCTTTCCCTGGTCTCTTGCCAGGAGAGGGCTTGCTGTAGCCCTGCGCCTCCAGACCACGTGGCTTTCGAGCCACCCACCCTATCTTCCTGGCCTAGATGCTCCTCCATGTGGCTGGTTCCGGGTGCTTGGTATGAACCCAGATTAACTGCTCTTAGATAAAGCTCTCACTCTCCTATGCATCTTTCACACTAAATAAAAGCCTAAAATGTACCATGCTGCCTCATTTATTTATGCTGGTATTTAGAATTCTTCTCTAAATATTAGGCAAGAACCCTCTCGGGCTTATTAATATTGGGGATTTATTAATATGCATATGGTGATATCATATGGTACCCCAAATACTGGTAACATATGTGACATCCCAGGTGGCACTTTTGGGGAATTTTAAGGGCCACATTTTTGCACAGATTTTAGGAGGTCATTCCCAATATCAATCCCATTCACTCCTCCAAGCCTCCTTGGTTTTGTGCAGCACACTTCTGATAAGAAATTCATTGTTGGCAAAAGTAACTGAGAATCTTTCAGGGAGATTTAACAACAGATAGAAAGATTCTTTCAGCTCTTTCTTTTTTCCTTCAATATTCTAATGTTGGTTACTTTTTGATGGTCAACAAAAAATTCCAGCCCTATAAAGCTCATTGTCCACCTACATATCAGGGCACCTTTCAGGGAACACAGCCTCTACTTTCCATTGCTTTTGATTAGGCCAATGAATTAAAATGTCTTCTGTGGTATTCTACTGCCTCTCTTGGGGAGCACCTAAAATAAATAGCATGGATTTACTTGACACTGTAATAGAATAATTTGGTTTTTAGCATGCCTTTTCAGAAAAAAAAAATGTTGGTTTAATGTACCCAAGGTTAAAACTAATATAAATAGTAGAATGTATGTGAATCAAAGCATTTTGTACACAATGGGACTTTACAGATCATTTTACTTGATAACTTCTTTGCACTATTCCTAATGGTTTGTTCCACCTCTAATCAAACTGGGGAGAGACTCAATGGCACTCTGAGTATAAGACAGACATTGGAATTGTCTATATTAAACGAAGATAGGAGTAACACAAGTTATAACAATCCATGTTTGCTTACTTTCAGAAAAGATACTTGCAATTTCTCCTGAAGTTGCTTACTCCACATATCCTTGAGCATAAATAGCTGGTGATCAATGAACTGTAGGAAAGGTGCTACGTACACTTTACTAATACATAGAACTCTTCCCGAGAGTCTGACGTGAGCACCACCACTGTACTAACTCCTTCGACCTTTAGCAACATCATCTCAAGGAAAATGCCCGTGAAGGATCAGGAGTCACCTTCCACACTGGCTAATCTAGATATCTGACTTTTTCCTTTCAATCTTTTAATGCCTGCCACAAAGAGTATTTTGGAAAATCTCTCAGTTCCCACCATGAACACTACTTCCCTATAAAATGAGATATTTGGTGATTACAGCTTTGCAATCATGTGTGGAGGAATCTCTTCTCTATTAAAGAAAAAAAACTTTTATTTATTACCAACTTCATAAAACACATACTTTATTTTATAATCACAAGAACTAAGCCCTTTGAAGTGGGATGTCAATTACCTAGAGTGTATTGTTAAGACCTTCTTCAGACCTCTAATTATCAGTATTTAATGCTATATACTTCTGGAGGGATGATAATTTACATGGAAATCCAGGCTTTCTACAATTAACTTAATCATAATTGATTTTTTGGTAACCTTAAAAGAATGGAATTATTCAGATGTACTCTCAGGAGTTGACAGTGCTTCAGATTATTAAAAGAAAGTGATTTATCTCCTATTTATAGCAGAGGGGGGAAAGGGAAAATCATATTAAATATATAAATATTTTTTACTTAGCAAGAAAACTACAGATTAAAAAATATTTAAATTTCTGTGGAATTATGTGAACTCCATCATTATATATATAAACTCTAAAAAACACTTTGCAGGCTATTCAGATGAATGTCATGAGAAATATAATCATGAAATGTTGAAATAATGAATCATTTGTAATAAAAAGCAAACAGAAGCTTAAGGAATATTAGTTCTTATTCAAAAAAGTATATTCTAGTTCTCCATTCTGCTTTAAGAGGAAAATATTTGAGGTTTATTTCCTTACATATATAATTTATATCATGGTTAAGTAACATAAGGAGAAATATGAGAAGAAATCCATGCACACATTTTCATAGTATGCACTTTTCCATGAACTTTTAAAATATTATTAATTTATTTGAAAGGCACAGAGACGGGCAGATAAAGTAAAGGAGAATTGCCATCTACCAGATCACTCCCCAGATGCCTGCATCAGGACTGAGCTAGCCCAAGGCTGGGAGCTTGGGATTCAATCAGTGTCTCCCACATGAAGGGCAGGAACACAGTAACTTGAACCATCACTGAATCCCACCAGGGTCTGCATTAGCAGGGAGCAGAAGTCAGGAGCTGGAGCCAGAAACTGAACCCCAGTATTCCAATACGGAATGTGAGCTTCTTAACTAGTAGGCTAAACACCCACCCTGTTTTAGGAACTTCCTGAAGACTCCCTCATATCTGCGGATTTCAAAAACTTTTATTTCCATTTTCCATGAACTTTCTGAAGTGTCCTTGTAGATAACTCTGCAGGTTAAAATCAAGTGAGAATCTTTGAAATAATCAAGAAATAGTTTTCAGCTTAAATAAAAATTATACCGCTATGAGTTATTTCTGAAAATTGATTAAATAATAATTCTTTTTAAGAGTCAAACCACATTTCAAGAAGAAACTTCCAAGAAGTATTCCTGGTTATAAACCTTCTTTTGAGGAACCTCAGTATTTCAAAACTCCACACGATTTCATGCATTAAAGCAACTAGGTGGCATGTTTTTCTAGGAGATTTTTGTAGAGATCTATATTTGATTCTGTCATGTGTTATTCTTATATTCTGAAGCTGACAATCCCTGAGTTCCATGTGCTTTATTAACAGAATGAAGTTAATAATATCTGTAAAGGGGTGCGGCCAAAGGAGGTGACAAAGTATAGAAACTCCTTGATGCTCTATATCTACAACTCACAGGAGCTACACAGTATATTTATAAAAGGAAGAAACTGAAGAATAGGAGTACTTAAGGAAGGAAGGGCAAAAGCAGAAGGGACAGGGAAGGCGAGAGCGAAGGAGACCCACTAGCAGAAGGAATGTCATACAAAAGATAGCAAATGCCACTGAGATAAAGGGAAAGAAGTTAACAAAGGAATCTGTGTATGTGAGGGGAGGTATTTTGGCTTTAAAGATTTTGTTGGAAAATAAATTGTGGATAATGTGTCTATAGGAAAATCACTGATGAGATGCTCAATGTCTGAAGTCTCTAGTTCCAACTAAGTGAGCATTTTTATAATGATAATGTGATAAATGTATAATAACTATGGGTTGGAATGGCATGCTTTAAAATAGATGCACGATGAGAAACAAGAAAAGCAAACGTGTTGCTGGGGAGGGTGTTTGGCCCAGTGGTTAAGGCACATCTGGTGATACCTGCATCCCATATCAGAGTTCAGGTTCAGGTTCTCAGCTCCATTTCTATTCCAGCTTCTTGCTAATGCACATCCCAGAGGAAGCCCTGATTGCTCAGGAGGTTGGATGCTGGCCACAGCGTGGGAGGTTTGAATTGACCTTCAGGCTCTTTGAGTCAGTCTGGCCTAGCCCTGGGGATGTAAGTATTTGGAGAAAGAACCAATAAATGGAATACCTTTCTCTGTCTTTGTCTGTCTACATTTCAAGTAAATTAAAATAAATAAAATAACAAGAACAAGAACAAGAACAATTTAAGGGCAAAAATGCTGTCTAGAAAGATGGGCCACGGCTAATCCTCCGCCTTGTGGCGCCGGCACACCGGGTTCTAGTCCTGGTCGAGGCGCTGGAGTCTGTCCCGGTTGCCCCTCTTCCAGGCCAGCTCTCTGCTGTGGCCTGGGAAGGCAGTGGAGGATGGCCCAAGTGCTTGGGCCCTGCACCCCATGGGAGACCAGGAGGAAGCACCTGGCTGCTAGCGTTGGATCAGCGCGGTGAGCCGGCCACAGTGCGCCAGCCGCAGTGGCCACTGGGGGTGAACCAACGGCAAAGGAAGACCTTTCTCTCTGTCTCTCTCTCTCACTGTCCACTCTGCCTGTCAAAAAAAAAAAAAAAAAAAAAAAAAAAAAGAAAGAAAGAAAAAGAAAAAGGAAAAAAGAAAGATGTGCCACAACTTTCCTGGATTATTCCTATGTTCACAGCATCTATCACATTGTAAGATCTATCACATTTGGAAGATCTCAATTAATATATAATGAGTGGATGGTGAAACTCACTAATTTATTCTATTTGACAAGTTGGTGATACCACAGTGTTGGTTCTAGTTGAACTCGCTCAGGGACCATCAATATGAGGATACTTCAAAAAGTGTGTGGGGAAAATAGAATTAAAAGATTATTTTGGTGCAAAAAATTTCATAATACACATTTCTATGAACTTTTTGAGGAATAAAAACTTTTATTTTGTGAATATTTAGCTTCAGCATGAACTTATCTTTTAATTCCATTTTCCATACTTTTTAAAGTAAGCTTATATCTAAAGTGATAACAAATACTGCCAAGAAAAAAAAATGTCCCATTTCAGGATAGGTAAAATAATATCTGAAAGAAACATTGAATAAGAATTTTAAGTAACCATGCAAACAGAATGCCCCCAAAGGAGGCTAATTGCATGGTTCTGTGTTGTAAATAAAAGGAAAAGTTTGTTAGTTTTTAAAATCTCTGCCTTAAAACCAAACTTGAACTTCCTAAGACTGCTGATAAAGTATGCTCAGACTAGTAAAGTCATTTGTTAAATAAGAGACGTTTAAACCAATATAGGGGCTTCTATTAATAACATAAATAATCAAAGTAAAATCTGTCAAAAATATAATATTTCAGGCCAAAGGTATGCCATAATGAGTCTTACAGCATAATAAATTTGGTGATGTGATAAGGAAGAATTTTAAATTAAAACACTGGCAGCATACAAACCAATAATATGATTGCACATGACATGGAATTTTCTGGAATCCTGGAATCATTCTGAAGTTCCTTCTACATTTTTCATGGTGTTCACAGCTCATACATATCATTCAGATCCATCAGTGTTTACTGTATAGCCGCAGTTCACATGACACTAAAGTAGACATTTGGGCCACAGAACTAGGAATCCGGCAACCATCTCGCGTTGTCAGTCTTAGCTATGTGACATTTTGCATGGGAATGGAGGTGTAACATTATTTGAAGTCAGCCTTTCCTACTATTCTCAGGGTGTATTTCCTAATGTCAATTGACATCTTCCTGCTCCAAGCAGTACTTCTGAAATGCTGGACTACTCAGCAACATGTCTTTAATTTTTTTTTCCTTTGGCTTTGATCCATGTGGCCAAGAGGCACTCATTCAAACATTTAGATTTCTTTGCTTTCTGTAAGAAATATGATAGTTGTTTTAATGACCTTAGGAGTCATTACTACTAGGTGATGATGTGTTACCATATTACAATGAATTATAGCATGATAACATAAAAGAATAGGAAGTCTTAGTAACTGCTTCAACAGAAAATAATCATGTATACTTTTGCAACAAAAACAATCTGTGTAGGTTTTTTCAAATCATATCGAAATTTAATCTCTTACCTTCCAATGAGAAGATACTCATATTTTAAATCTACATGTTTTAATTGTTTCACAGAAAAAAATAGAATTAGAAGATAGTTTTTAATTGTGGAAATGGTAGCTTTGCAATGTTGTTTTTAAAAATTAATATGACTTTTGGCAATTTGTGCAATCTGTCAGCTAAAAATTTAAATTAGCCATCACAACCAGAATAAATTGGCCTCAGATCTTTTACTTTTAGTGACTTTGGTAAGGATTGGTATGCCTTGTGGTGGTATTTAATTAACTGCAGAGAAACCCAAGTGAAATGTGAAGGCTCAGCTCAATCCACTATTACTTTAAACCAGAGTATCACTTATTAATTGTGAAACCCTGAAAACAAATTCTTCTTCTGAGGCCATTTAATAGCTTCAATAATGCAACCTCTATATAATTTAAAGTTATACTTAAGCAATAAAATTTTCCATAGGCCATTATTGATATCTGAGTGTCAAAATATGGCACTCAAAATAGCTTATCATTAGACTTATATTTCTTTTCTTCTATGAAACACACTGATATTGTTCATCTTAAAATGATCTCTCATAGGGAAATTTGTCTTCAGTGTTACAACAGAAATTCAATTAAATGAAAGATGTATGGAAACCTTTTTTATCCATTTATTTTAGACAGAGGGAGAGAGCGAGTGAGATAAAACAGAGAAAGAGAAAACTCCCATTCACTGGTACACTCCCCAAATGCCCACAGCAGGGTTGCAGTGGGGCTGGAGCCAGGAATGCAATTCCAGTCTCCTATATGAGTGGCAGAAACTAAAGTCCTTGAGCCATCATTGCTGCTTCCTGGGGCCTGCATTAGCAATAAGATGGAATCAGTAGCTGCAGCCAGGGAGTGAACACAGGAACTCGTATGTTGGACACAGGGTAAGGATGCCTTAAACTCTAGTATGTACGACCTGTCTGGGAACTGTATTTTAATCAGTTTTTTTCTGTTAGGAAATAGATAAACGTTGGTAGGAAAAGTTAAATTTAATTATTTAATTTAAATAACTCTCCTATTCAGATTCTGTTTTACTGCCTAATTTCTACATTTTTATTGCGATAAAGCAAAATAATTGTGACATATGTCATAAAGGTCCAGAATCTGACAAATACTGACTGAAGTCCTGGCTCAGCTACTTCTTTGCTGGCAGACAATTTATTCAGTCTCTAAAGCCTATTTCTGTACTGCAACTCTGGTTCCAACGAAGTCGGGTTTATTTCCCCAAGTAAGCCTTTGCCCTCTCTCCGCATTGCTCTTCAGTATACCCTTGGAATAACCAAAATATTTTTCTGAACAGTGAACATGAGAAAGATCACTTGTACTCTTGGTTTAGCTCTGTCTTTTCTCTTGAGAGCAAGCTGACTATAAGGAGCACAGCTGCTACCTTCCCTCCACATCAAGTATACAGAGAAGTTCCCCGGCCTGTCTGCAACTGAGGATGAAGTCTCCCTAATTTTGGAGTTTTCTATTAACAAGTCTTCTTGGCTAAAAGACCTAAAGCCACAGGCTGAAACCTAGTCCTATCAATACCATGCTTACATGTGAGCTCTTCAGAATTTCATGGAAAATATGTATGAAAAAAAAACTATGCATAAGTTTCAAAATATTTTACAGCAAAACAAACTTATTTCTTTGTTCCAGTTTGCATGAACATTTTGAAGTGCTCAAAATGTTGGCCATTATCTTCATTTTTTACTTTATTTCTCCACTTATGAACCAACAGATGAAAGGGGAGTGCTATTGATTGGCACTCTTCAAGATCTTACTATCTACCATTTTGTTGGTTGATCAACTACTACTCACCAGCCTTTATCATAGATGCTTACTGGAGTTTTGTTTTATCCTCTCATTCATCCTAGCCTTAAAGAGGACCTAAATGAAAGATCTCTGCGAGTGAGATCCCAGTGGAAAGAACGGGCCATCAAAGAAGGAGGTACCTTTCTCTGAAGGGAGGAGAGAACTTCCACTTTGACTATGGCCTTGTCTAAATAAGATCAAAGACGGCGAGCTCAGGGGGCTTCCATGGCCTTGGCAACTCATGACTAGAGCCCGGGGAGATTGCTGACGCCTTAAACAAGAGTGTCAATTTGTTAAGTCAACAACGGGAGCCACTGTGCACTTACTCCTCATGTAGGATCTCTGTCCTTGATGTGTAGTTCAATGTGAATTAATGATATGACTAGTGCTCAAACAGTATTTTGCACTTTGTGTTCTGTGTGGGTGCAAACTGATGAAATCTTTACTTAATATATACTAAATTGATCTTCTGTATATAAAGATAATTGAAAATGAATCTTGATGTGAATGGAATGGGAGAGGGAGCAGGAGATGGGAGGGGTGTGAGTGGGAGGGAAATTATTGGGGGGGGGGAGCCATTGTAATCCATAAACTGTACTTTGGAAATTTATATCTACTAAATAAAAGTTTTAAAAAATGAAGAAATAAGGTTTACCAAAGGTGAAATAAGTTTACCAGGTTACCCAAGGCAATTAAGTTAATAAAAGCAAGAGGTAGATTTGACTTGGGTTTGTTTTGACTCAAAACTTCACTCTATGCATCACATCATGTGGCATTTCATAATACAAGGAAGTCTTAGAGCTCTGTATTAATTTTCTGATGCTGTGTAACAAATTACCATAAAAGTCATGATACAAAACACACTACCTATTTATTAATTCAGAGTTCTTTAAGGTAGAGGTATGGGTAGGCTGAGACAAGTTCTATCCTCAGAGTATCACAAGGTGAAAATCAAGGTATTAATTAGCTGGGATGAGTGCTTTTCTGGAAGAGGCTTTGGGAAAGAATTCAGAAGTTCATAGTTGTGCAGAATTCAGTTATCTCACTCTAGGACTGAAGTCTCCATCTCTCTCTCTCTCTCCTCTTTTTTTTTTTTTTTTTGCTTTCAGCCAGAGACTGCTTGCACATTTTACAGTCTACTCATATTCCTTGTCATGTGGTTCGATCTGTTCAGGAATTATGTCCTTCTGTTTCCAACCTATCTTCCAATTTTTCTACTTAATAGAAAAATTCTCTTCTTTAAAGACCTACAGTGATTGATTAGATCAGATTTGATTGCAACCCCCACAGATATTCCAAGATAATCTCCCAATATTTTAGGGTCATTTGATTAAGAACATTAATTATGTCTACAGAATCCTTTTTCCCATGCACCCTCACATAGTCAAGGGTGTGATAAATCAGCATATCTAAAGGCTGGGAGAATCAGGAAGGAAGAACTATTTGAGAAAAAGGAGTGATATTCTTAAAATTCCTTCCATCAGAGTAGTGGCCATATAATGATTAAGATGCTTGCAACTGACGTTGGAATGCCTGGGTTTGTTTCCAACCACACTTTCTGATTCCAGCTTCCTGCCAGTGAAGACCCTGGGAGACAGCAGATGATGGCTCAGGTAATTGGGTCCTTTAACCCAAGTGGGAGATATGGACTGCATTCCTGCTTCAGGTCTCAGCATAGCCCCATCAGTTTCAGGCATCTGGATAGTGAACCAGTGGATAAAAGTGTCCTCTTTCCCTCTCTCACTCCATTACTCTGCTATAAGAAATGATGTATTAGCTTTCTAATGCTGTCATAACCGATGACTATGAGGTTAGTGCCTTAAAATACATAAATGCATTACTTGGTAGATTAGAAGTCTGATATGGGCCTCACTGGAAAAATCCTGAAGGCATGAGGGAGGATCCATTTCCTGCCTTTTCCAGACTCTAAGGACCTCCATGTTGCTTGGCTGTAGCTTTTCTCCTCCATATTGAAAGCTGGAGAAAGTACATTTCTTTCATCACTAAAGTCACATTGTAACTCTTTCTGACCACAACTAAAAAAGGTTCTCTGACTTGAAGACTCAGGCCATTAAGACTGACTCTACCTATTTAGTCCAGGATATTCTTTTGACCTCAAGGTCCCTAATCTTACCGCAAATTCCATTTTCTGATATAAATTATAAATGTCAGTTAACATATTCACAGGTTCTGAAATAGGATTCACAAAAATGATAGTGCATATAAATTGTAATCCATGATATTGAGTCATAAATGCTTTCAATATTTATTACGAATTTCTTAAATTTTTCAGTATTAATGCAAAAATGTTCATATTTAGATTTAAGTAGTGGAAACAATTTCTTAATTAAAGTACCTATTTGTCAAATATCATTGCTTATATGCTCATACTCTCCCACCTAAGACCGACTCTCTTTAATCTCAGAATTTGAGAGTTTCAAGTCATTTCCCTCACTGTAGTTTTGAGGTCTGTCATGACCAAAATCTGAAATTTGAATTAGTCATTCAAGGTATTCCTCTAAGCATCTTGACTGCCTATTACATTATTCACAGTAATTCTGAAAATTCTCCTTTCCATGTCTCAATAGTACATTCAAGAATCAAGCAGTGAGTTACCACAGAGCATGCCGGCACCAGAAATTATTTTTGACACTGAAACCCCACAGACTTTCTCACAAACTCACATCGATGATAAAGAGCTCATAGCCAGTCAAAAGTGAAATAAAGCATTGCACTGGTCATGCTTTCCTTGGCTGCAGAAATCAGAGCACACGTCGAAGTTACAGCCCCACCTGGTTCTCACCCTTCTTCAAGTTGTGCTTTCCCTAAATTCAAGTTAAACACATTCCACATTAAAATGTTCTATCGCCCTGCCATTTTCATTAATTAACTTCCTGTGCTGAACTTTCCTGACTCTTACATTGTATACAGTCATCCCTTGGTGTCCAAGAGGATTGGTTCCAGGAATGCCTGT